AGGAAAATAACACATTTTAGAAGGCAAATATTGATTGCATCCCAGTATTAATACAAGATGTTAAACACACAGTTCTGGATGCTGCGCTGCCCTCAAAACCACAAGTCCCAACTCCTGACTTACTTGAGTCCCCACGCAAAGCCACTCCAATAACTCCACAGTGCAAGAATAGCAGCAGTTTCCCGATGCAGAGCTCTGGGTGCACCCACTGGATGCTGGCAGCAGCCCATGACATCTCCAGCCAGCCCCAGCAGCACCTTTTGCACAAAGATACAGCAATACATGCTCCGCCAACCATGCAGTTACATTAGGAGAGCAGCAGACCCAGGATATTTTTAAAGGAGGACCCCAGAGCAAACAAAGCACAAGACTTGGCAAGTAAAATACAAAACAGTAAGAATACGGACATATTAAGTGCAGCATCTAAGATCGGTTCCACCATTTATCAAACCACATAACAAGGTCCAAGTAGAGGTGAAGTCAGATAAACCATGTTAAAATTCAGCTCCAGCTGGGGAAAAGCCAGAAAGATCAGCTTCCTTCATCCTATGCCACGGTCTGCACAGGCATAAGACATGAGATGAGAGCAAGTTGCCCCACAGCATCACAAGACAGACAAACTCCTTCAAAAGCAAACCTGAATCACTAGCAGGAATCCAAAAGCAAACCCTCGAGACACAGAAATTTACTTTTAGACACAGCGATTTGCTTTTAGAGAGATAAGCTCTAGCCCTGCCCCACCTCCAGAATCTGGGCATGAGGGGAGAAAGGGCCACAGTCAATCACACACGAGCCCTGCAAGGGAAAGGTGAGGCATGCTCCAAACAGCAGCTGGGCAATCACCCACCAGGTGTGCTTTGCCCAATTTAAATACTGAGTTGCAGGGAGACTCACACTTCTGTCTGATACGAGGGGCTGTGCCGTGCACCGGGCTGCTGCCACACGCTATGAGAAGGATGCTCATAGAACCTGATATTAAGGAACACTGCTGTAAGCAGAGGATTTAAACAGCCTCCTTTCTAAGGGTGGGAAGCCTTAGGGCCTGTTCCCCTTTCCTCTTTTGCAGGGTAGGAACAGGAAGGCAAAGGAACAGCTTTATTACCGCACTAAGGACAAATCTGCAGGAGGGTTTTTTTGCAAGCTTACTTTCTACCACAGGGACGGCAATCTCAGACCTTTGTTGAGAGCAAACACAGCTCCTCCTTCAAGAAAACTTCTTCCATCGCTGACGGGACAGCAAAGCGGGATGGGCACGGCCCAGCTCTGCCAACAGCCACGAGCAAAGGCACGGAAGAACGCGAACGGACGCTGCCCAGCACCAAGGGCCACCCAGCAGGGCGACAACAGCTCGCCCCCCAGCACGGCTGCTAGCACCCCGCGCACACGCAGGTGCCGCGCATCCCTCGCACACCCGCTGCGCGCCCGCTCACCTCCCCTGCGGCGGCGGGGCGCCCGGCCATCAGCACCCCATGGCGGGGCGGCGGCAGCGGGGCTCCTCCGCGGCGCTTCAGCTCCGTGCGGGCCCCATGGCCGGGGCGGCGGCGGCGGCGGCGGCCGGCGGCAGGCTCATGTCGCCATGGCGGGGCCGCGGCGACGGGGAGGGAAGGGAGAGGCGGGCCGCCGCCGCCGCCGCGCGGAGGGACGGGGAGGGAGGGGGGGAGGGGGTAAAATAAAATAAAATTAAAATTAAAAGGGGGGGAGGGAGGGGGAGCGAGAGGCAGCCCGCAGCCAGCCGCTTCCCGGGGGGAGCAGGGGAGGGAAAGAAGGGCCGGCGCCGCCGCCGCCTCCCCTCAGCCTCTCCCCGCCTCCCGCGCAGGCGGGGCGGCCGCCGGAGCCCGCACCGCAGCGCCGCCGTGCGGTGGAGGAGCGCAGCGCCGCAAGCCGGTGCCGTCGCGACGGCTGGTTGGGGGACTCTCTCCTCAGGCCGCCCGGCGGAGGGATCGCGCCCAGTGAAGCGCCCCCGCCGCCCCTCCGCGGCGCCTGCGCACTTGGGCCGCCCGACCCTCGCTGGGAGCGGGTTGTCGTGAGCGATCGTAGCTGGCTGTGAAATGTGAGCTTAAAGCGGCCGCCAGACAATAAATAAGGGTTCCTCGCAGCTTGTGTTTTTTCTCTGTTTTTTTTTTTTTTTTTCTTTTTTTTCCGTCTTTAGTCGACCCGTTCTTCTGTCAAACAAAACATGGAAGTGTTCAGATTTCCTGTAGCATAAATCTGGCTGGGGAGGGTGTGATATATAAAGTCCTGGGACTTCATCTGGACTAAATACTTGGCATGATGTCCTGGCACCATGAGGACGCTCGGCAGCAGCTCGGTGCAACACCAGAGGCTGAAATTAAGAGAGCACAAAGCTCAGAGCAAGGGCAGAATGTTTCCTTTAAACTCCTTTCTGCATCTAACTGCTAGCAGTTAAGATAGCACACAAAGGAGTAAGCAGAGTGGCAGAAATCAAACACAGAATGGCTGGGGTGTGAAGGGATCTCAACGATTATCCAGTTCCATCCCCCCCAGCTCAGGCTGCCCAGGGCCCCATCCAGCCCAGCCTTGAGCACTCCAGGAATGGGGCATCACAGCCTCTGGGCAGCTGTGTGCCTCACTGCCCTCTTAGTGAAAATCTTCCCCCTGACTTCTAATGCAAACCTCCCCATCTTTAGTTTAAAACCGTTCCCCTTTGTCCTATCATGATCTGGCCATGTAAAAAGTTGATTTCCCTGCAGTTTATAATCTCCCTTTAAATACTGCTGTCGCCCAAAGCCTTTTCCAGACTGAACAAACGCAGCTCCCTCAGCCTATTTGATCATCATACAGCCATAGAATCATTTATCTAGCTTTCTTCAGGGCCCTGCCGTTTAAGGAGCTGTGTTTCGGGAACCTGTAAAGCTGTTTGGGTTTTCCAAAATCAGTAGTTTCTGGCAGTGATCCAGTGAAAGTAACCAAACTGATGCTCACAGCTGGGAAAATTCTGCTGGAGGGCTGTCTGGCACCATCCTGAGATCATTCCACCCGTGACATCATTCCACTCCCACAGCTACGCAATTCTACTGTATTGGACTCTTTGCTCTTGGGGTTTCTAACAAGGCCCTTCTCAGAACTTTTCACATGTCGGTGAGCGGCATATCCTCCGATCAGCAGCCTGTGGAAATGATGGTTTGGTGGGAACGTCTAGTGCTAACTTGGTGCAAAAATGCCTTTTCTTCTTTACCGAGTGTGCCCTCAGCTGGATGCAATTACAGTCCTTTGTTCCCAGTAACAGCAGGAAGGGACTGTTGGAGCAGCACCCAGCTGAGCTGAAAGTAGTACAGTAAACTAGTCAGCTACCAGGGGACTGATACTCCTTGCTAAGGAAACCCTGCAGGCTGAGGAGTGAATCACCTGGAGCAGGAGGGACCTTGCATGGTGGTCAGTCAGAGGTGAGGTCGCCCGTTACCTTTTGAGCAATAAGTATTACTGCACTGTATTTATCCAGACCTGGTGTGCCTGGCACATGGGAGGGGCAGAAAAAAAGGAAAAAGAACAAGAGATGGAATCAGAAGAGGGGAGCCCTCTCTCACCACCTCCCAGAAGCTCTCTCTGAGCAACGGCTCTGTTGGCAGGTGAAACCCACAGGTTTGTCTCCACTTGGGGAACTCACAGTAGGTGTTTGATGAGCCTGGGCCTTGAAAATGACATTCTGCATGTCACAGGGCTTTATCGTGAAGTTTGGTGCACCGAAGAGTCCTTCAGTTGCCTTTCTGTGCTTTGCAGTTGTCTCTTGAATCCTTGCAGTTCAACACAAGTTCCTCCAAATTCATTTTGCTTGCCCAACACAGCTCTGAATGTACTCGGGGACCTCCAAGTGCCTTTCTTTTTGGCCTCAGTATTCTCAGAGTGTTTTCCTGTGCACACCAGTGACTTGTGGTCTCTTTTGTTGTTTTGTCCAGAGTTCTCCCTGGGCATTTCTGTGCACTCCTAGCATTTCCAAAATCCTTTTCTGCTCAGTTCATTTTTCAGTTCATCTGCTCCCATGTTCATTTTGGTGCTCCAAAGTCCTGCAAAGCCCTTCCTGTTAAACCCAAGAATTTCACAGCATCTTTCTGTGACTCAAGGTCTTCCGAGTGCTCTTTTCTGTGTCCCAAGGGCCTCATTATGACATTAATTGGGGCAGGAGTGCTTGAGGTAGAGTCTGTGGGAGCAGAATGCTTGAGGAGGGGGCACCTGTGTACAGCCCCAGGCCATAAGCTCTGTGCTGTTCACTGTGCTCAGCATCCTGTGCATAGGTCCAAGCATCATCAGGCCAGAGCCTTATTATATGGTGAGATGGGCAGGGGGCACCTGAGGGGATGTGTGCAGACAGTCATGTGGTTAATTAATGATTATCTAGTGACCTTGGCAGAGAGGGGGGTGGTGTGAGGGGAGTGGGGCCTCCTGAATGCCGGATTCCCCCCAACACACACTGGACCTTGCTCTTTGCCCTGCCCCTTCTCCTGGACCTTTGTCTTTTAGGCTCAGCTGGGACAAGTATAAGAGCAGTGCAGAGGAGTGGGAGGGACCAGGAGACCCTGAGGCCAGAAGAGAAACGGAGGCACACAGAAATTCAGGTGAGGGACATGCAGGGGACTAAAATATTTGCAGGAGGAAATTGTAAGGAACCTGAGCATCTAGTGGTATGGAAGAGATACAGGTGTCTGAGGGTGTGGGGGAGCTATAGGGGATCCAGATGTCCAGAGGAGATGTACAGTAAGAGATACAGGTGCCTGTGGGATGCAGAACTGTAGGAGACCTATTATTCTTGGGATGTTCTGTACAGAATCCGGGCATCTGGGTGGAATCCAAAGATGACCTAGGTCTTCAGAGGACTTCTGCATTGAATCCAGGTGTCTGAGAGGGCACTTCTCCATGCATTTGGAGGAGATCTGTAATGGACCCTCATATTTGGGGCACTCTACAGGGGACTCAGGTGCCCAAGATGGGGTTTCCAGACAGGGCTCCAGCAGTCCAGGCTCTGACCCCACTTTCCACAGGTACCCATGGCAAGCTGGATGCTATGCCTAGTCCTCATACTGGCAGCAGTGGCAGGGGCTGTGAGAGAGACCCGCTATGAGAAGTTCTTGCGGCAGCATGTGGACCACCCCCGGACGCTCGGGCTTACGGGACACCTCTACTGCAGGATCATGCTGGCACGACGGCAAGTGACGGCCCCAGGGAGGCTTTGCAAGCAATCCAACACCTTTGTACATGCACCAGCTGAGGACATGGTGGCCACCTGTACCCTCCCAGCCGACTCAAAGGGGTTCCACAGCACCTCAACACCCATGGACATCACAGCCTGCAACCTGCGGGGTGGAGACAGCCGGCCCCCTTGCAATTACCAGGCCCGGCAGCTCCATCGCTATGTGCGTATCTCCTGCCTTAACGGGCTGCCTGTGCACCTCGCTAACACCTATGTATCTGTTAATGAGTCTTGAAATGGGGGACAATGCGTGGAGAGATGGATTCCCTCCCTTCGGGAAGGGGCTGCATTAGGACCTGCAATAAAAGAGGTGCCACAGGCCTGGGCTCTGGCATCAGCTTCTGGGGGGACCGTGGGACCCTGCTCCCCTCTGGGTGTCCTTCAGCCCCTGTGGGTGCCTCTGACCCCATTCAGGATGGTCATGGCCAACCCAGGTTCACCTATAAACCCTTAGTTTCTCCCAACCTCCCAGGTACCCTTTAGTCCCTTGGGTGCCTCTGACCTGTACTATACCCTGTAGACTCCCCACCTTGTTTTTTTGCCCTGGCGAGCACTTCACAATTCCCCCCAGTTCCCAATAGCTCCTCCAGGGTTACCTTAATCCCTGTATTCAACAGCTTCCCCAGTTATCCCAACCCTGCAGATATCACGCTGTGTTCCTGAGTACCCATAGTCCCCATAGTGTTTCCTAATGTCCCTTGAGTCTTGCAACAGAAGACCCAGCTTCCCCTATGGCTGCCCCATAAGCCCCAGCATGCTCCACAGTCCCCTCCACCAGATGCCTCTGACCCTACCTAGGGCCTTTGTGGGGTTGAGGCAGTGCTTAGGCCCTCCAAAACCCCCATGGCTAAAGCCATACACAGACCCCAAAGTCCTCCACCCCCCCATACAGTTTGTCCTGTCACTGGGCACCACTGGAAAAGTCTGTCATCATTTCTCCCCACAAGTACTTGTACGCACTGATAAATTCCCAATGCATGATCCTCCTCCAAGCTGAAAAGTTCCAGCTCCCAGCTTTTCTTCATAACAGAGATGCTCCAGACCCTTCATTATCTTCATGACCACATCTCACATGTTCTAGGGTGCTCAGCACTGGTTGCAATACTCCAGTTATGCCTCAGCGATGCTGAGCAGAGGAGTAGAATTACCTCTCCCAACCCATCAGCAACACTCCTCTTCATGCAACCCAGGAAACCAGTAGTCCTCCTTGCCCTGGTCCTATTGCCCAGGGAGCCCAGAAGACTCAGATAGAAGTACCAACATTCAGGTGTCATGCCACTGCAAAAAGGCCACTGAGAAGGCCAAGAATGGTCTTTTTGATCCATTCCAATTGGACCCTGTCCAAAATGTACCATGAGTGACTCAGGTTCTCCTTGTCTGGAATTTAGCAGAAAGGCAGAGGCCCTGTAGACCTCTGTGAACTGGTAAGCTTGAACTCTCGGCTGTGCCCTCTTGAGGAGAGCTCTACTCTCTTTACACTGGAGAGGAATTGAGATATTTCATCATCACTGAATCATAGAACTGCTTAGGGTGGAAGGGACCTTAAAGTGCATTTAGTTCCAACCCTCTGTTGTGGGCTGGCTGCCACCCACTGGATCAGGCTGCCTGGGGCACCATCCAACTGGCCTTGAGGACCTCCACATCCACAGTCTCTCTGGCTGGCAGGAGGGGATCTCTGCCTGAAAGGGAGCAGGAGGACTGTATGCAGTCCTGGACCATTATTTCCCACCACTGGCATGGTCCATGGACTTGCATCCACAGTCTCTCTGGGCAGCCTGTGCCAGTACCTCATCACCTTCTGAGTAAGAATTTCTTCCTAGCATCTAACCTAATCTCCAGTCTTTCAGTTTAAGGCCATTCCCCCTTGTCATATAGCCACAGGGCTCAGGGTTTGTGTGGACATCTTGCTGGCTAGCCACCACTGGTATCTGCTGGAGGAAACCCAAGGGCAGACACTCTACCAGCTGGTTGTCTCTGGGTATGTGAGTACCTTGCTATTAAACTTATAAATGTTAACTTCCTCTGTGTACTTTCTTCGGGATTGGTAAACCTTACACAGAAATACTGGTGCTTTTACAGTACAACACATACCTGGGATTGCCCCAACCCAAGTGCAGCACCTTCATTTGGCCTTGCTGAATTTCATTAAGTTCCCATGGGTCCACTCCTCAAGCCTGTCTATCCCTGCCTTCTGCTGTGTGAACTGCACACTCAGAGTCATCAGAAGACATGCTGAGGGTGCGTACAATTCCACTGTCTGTGTCACTGATGAAGGTACTGAAATGCACAGGTCCCAAGATGGACTCATGGGGCATTAGAGGCATTCCTGGCCCGGCAGCTTCCAGCAGTTCCCCTGCTCTAGCCTGCTCTCTCCTGGCCACTGGAGGAGCCAGGTGGGATGGCAGGAGGAGATCTCTGCCTGAAAGGGAGCAGGAAGAAAGTATGCAGCCCTGGACCATTATTTCCCACCACTGGCATGGTCCCTGGACCTGTATACCTTTTGTCTGAAGAGCTCTGTAATCAGCTTGAATGGAACCAACACAGAGTACAGTCTTCAGTGAGGTCAGTCTCTGTTCAAAATATACCAAAGCCTTAGGAGAATCAAAAGGATCTGTCTCCATCTGGCCTTGGTCTTAAAACTGAAGGAAAGAAAGGAATTCCCAATAAGATTCTGTCTTGAAAATAAACCACCTCCTCTGCCATTGAAAAAAAAAAAAAAGAAAAAAGTTTTTTTTTTTTAAAAAAAAGCCACTTGAGGGCAGCACAGCTCCAGCAAAACAGGCAGAGCTTCTCAAATCTTCAAGATTTCTTTCTTTAGCAAGCATGTCTCCGGACATGTCCTCTTGCATTTAAACGAAGCACATACACCTTTCTGTCCATCCAGAGCATGCCAATTGCTACTTGCTGTCAGACATAGGTCTGAATTTCTGCAAATATTTCTAGTTTTGTCAGGCTTCTGATTTATTTATCTTTGCTGCCTTCTCTCCATGCCCAGATGAAGCCAGCAACGGGGATTTTTAAGGTTTGTAGGTGTACTGTTTAAAATAGACCAGAAAATTTATGAGCAGCCTTATGCTGCTAATACAGAAAACATGCATGTGCACATTTTTGTGGCATCGCTTGCAATTTTACCAGCTCCAATTTCCGTGGTAAATTGAATGATCTTAAATGACTCAGAATAGACCCTCTAGTTTGAAGTAAAACTTTCAAGGATCCATTGTTTTTGAGGACAGAGACACTGCGAGATTTTAAGTCTTGAGACAAAAAGTGTTGCACGTGGTAGGGACTAGCAGTGCAGCCCTCAAACTCTCTAAGCTGTATTTGGTACCCAGGAATCACTTACTACCTTCATGTGCACAAAAAGACTTACAAAAGTACTGCTGAAGAGAGAACACACACCAAGGTGAGATTTGGAAATGGAAACTACACGGAATGTGTTGTAGATTAAAGTGCTGGAGTATTGCAGGACTTAGCCATCAAACCCAGAAGACCTGAACACCCTGAGAAAACAGATTGGTGCAACATTCTGTCTAACCCAGCCCAGAGGAACATGCAAACTCTTCCAGCTTACAGACAAAGAATATATGACTGCATAGTTACCTGACTACCTTCTTTCTTCCCTCTCTCTAGGAAAAGATTGTCAACCTAGAAGTAACCCAGAAAACACTAACACTGGAGCAATCTCTCTAGTGAGCAGGAGCAAAGACATTTTATACAAGCTATCAGACTTACTTAGAGCTCCAGACAGTGACTTTGAAGGATGTGGTTGTGGTTAGTCTGCAAATGAATATAGTTAGTCTTGCTAAGGTTTCTGTGCTTACCTTTTTGGTTATACCAGGCAGATCATGTCTGCACTGTTTCAATGACCTAATCTATCTGAAAAATAGAGTATAAAAGGTTGGGTTTCTGGCAACGTACTCTGCAGATGTCAGTAAAAATGAGTACTGGAGTAATGAGAGTGCCCATTGGTGTATTTTGTTAAGTGATTGCCCCAGTAGAGACATCTTGTAGTGTTCTCTGTGAGAGACCTTCCACTTGCCTAGTTTCCCTAACTTCCAACTATATCCATATTGGCATCCTACTGTACCAGGGAACAGGAGTCACCAGCCAGAGAGACTGAGCTCAAAGCTACATCACTACCAGGCAGATGGAGCTTTCTCAGACCTCTGCGAGTGGGGCTGCAGCAGAATCGTAGAATCATGAAGGTAGGAAAAGGCCTCTGAGATCATCCAGTCCAACCCCGGCCCATGTGCCTGGTGATCACAGCCCTCAGTGCCACATCCTGTTTTCTGAACATCTCCAGGGACAGTGACACCTCCAGCTCCCTGAGCAGCCTGTGCCACTGCATCACTGCTCTTCCTGAGATTAATTTTTTCCCAATATCCAGCCTAACAATCAACTTCTGCGCTATCTTTAAGCTACTGGGATGCAGTCTTTTGTCCAGGGAGACAAAAAGGTCTTTGCCATAAGCAGCCATGAGCCATTTGCAGGTAGTGGTCAGCAAATCTGCAGTAGCAACAAGTAGCAAAATAACTGCGTGCGACTGCTGCCTGCAAACAGAGAAAGAATTTTTGCATGCTTGTGTTTTAGTCAACTAATGCATTTATTTATTAATTCCATTCTCATTTAGGCACTTTCATTTTCCACTTATCAGCTGCAAATGTAAAGTCTCAAGGTTTCCAATTGATTCTGCTTTATAATGCTACGGGAAGGCAGAAGCTATCTTCTTGTTGTGTGGATGGGAAAATCCAGGTTGCCCAAGGTCACAGAGAAGGTCTGAGGCAGGAGCTCAGTTCAGCCTTTCTAAACCTCATTTCAGTAGCTTCCCTTTCAATTTATGTGCTTCTCTCTAGAATAAAGTCTTCATTAAAATAAAGGTGGTTTTGTTTTTGATCCGAACCTTTCACTTTGCAGTGCAGCCTGCAAGTTTATATGTGTGAGGATCACATCTATACCCTACATACATATAAGATCAGTATACATTACATTACAGTCGACAACCAAAACTGTTCCCAAAGCAGTACATTTCACTAAGAAAGCAGCCATGAAGTTTCTGGATACTAGCCCAAGAGTAGTATCCAAGTTGTATCTGGTCTGATTTCATGCCCACAGCTTGCTCTGACAGTACTCAGCCCACTTCTTCTCATTTACTGTCAAATCATTGTATCTTCAGACAGGAACCATGTTGTTGCTTGTTTAGCACATAGAAATAAAGCAAATGAAACTGTCTCATAG